CCCGGCCACGGCTCTCCGGGGCCCCTCTGTGAGTGTGGGGTCCGAGGGGTGACAGCCCCATCCCCACCGGTTTGAGGCCGCAACCTGTTGCGGAGCCTTGTGGATCTCAGCTGGCTCCAGGGTTCAGGCTGGGGGGCTGAGGGGCAATGTGTGCTGAAGTCACAGAGGAAATAAAACTGTAATTTTGTTTATTTTTGTAGCTTAGCCTCAGCTGAATTATTCTCCTGACACGTTTTCTCCCTCTCCCATCTTTTTCCCCAATGACCCTCAAAACTGTGTCATTTCCCAGGGAAAAAACCATCACCTGTGGTGCCAGGCCGCTCAGTTCAGCTCTGGACCACGGTTGGTCCAGCGCACATGTTCCCAATGCTTCTACCTGATGTCAGCTTTCAGAGGGTGTATCATGGCCAACTGTCTGCTCTCTGCCTCTTTCCACTTTTTCAGAAATGAGCGTGTTTGTGACCAGAAACAGTTGAAAGAGTGGGAAGATGTATGCCTACACTTTTGGATGTGATGCGTAATTTTGTAAAGCATTCGGTGGTTTTTTTCTGTACCGTTCATTCAAAAGTGTAGCCAGTTTTAGTATGACTGGTATCTGCAGATTTTTAAAAACAGAGTGTTAAGCTAGCTTTTCTCCCACCCACCTCTCCTGCCTGTGGCTTATCCTGTTGAGTGGAATTAGCTGAATTTTCAGTGACAAGTACAGCCAGCCAGTTGCTGTTCAAGTCGTAGTTAGCTTTCCTGCAACACCCACGACCTGAGGAGGATTCCAGGGGGAGAAGGGGGGAAATTTGGGGCTATTCAGTGCTAAGGTATGAGCCTGGCAATACAAGCACTGTACTTTTTACACTAGAGGAAGTAAAGAAGGTATTTTCTTTGGTGCTGTGTCTTTCAAGGTAAATTTGGCTGGGGAGCCCTGCCAAAGGAAATACTCTGGGCCAAATTCTGCACTGAGTAATATTCCGTGGGGTTGCATGCGGGGGTGCAGAAGAGAAGCTGTGTGCTTTGAGAAAACAACCTCCAGCAGCTGTGCTTTAGCTGCTCCATAGGAGCATAGCAGCCTTTGCAAAGTGCTCTGAGTTCCTCAGGTGGGAAGATCTGTTACAATACAGCGAACCACAGTTACGGAGCATGCACCACTCACACTGTGAGCAGTGAGAGGGTTTGAGTAGTTCTAGTGCTTTGCAAGTCTTAAGACCTGTTAGCATGAGGAAAGGAAGCTCCTGGATGGTCAGCAAAAAGGCTTTGGCTCTCATCTCTGCTTTCATTCCTCCTCTGTTTTTTTCAGACCTCAGGGAAGCCATGGATGGAGCCTCGGCTCTTACATGGCAGTGTGGTCTGTACGTGGACGGCCGTGTCCTCAGAGCTCCCCTGAAATACCAAGCGCCTTGACTGGTTGCCTGTGGTGGGAGCTGAGGATGCTCAGCATGCATCCAGCAAGTGCCTTGCAGGCTTAGATCTGCGAGGAGCTAAAATCCTGGAGAGAGGCTTTGTTAATTGCTTAAGCCTGTGCTCACGCTGACACATAAGCTGTAACCGTGGGTTTGCTCCAGCTGCACGGAGGGATCCCTGCTGTGCTGTCAGGCTGCTGGCCTTGTTGCACCTTTGCAGCTGTGATGTGTTTCCGTGTGCTGATTCTCCAGCAGGCATCTTGTGACCACAGCAATCCTGCCATCGGACAGGGGGAGAGGAAAGGGGTTTGCTTTGGGGGTGGTGGGCAGTGCTGTATACTTGCTGTGAGGCTGCTCTCTGCATGACTTGAGCTGGATGCAGAGCTTGGTCTCATGGCCAAACCACGGGGGGATCAGGGAGCCCCCTCCAAGGCCCTGCAACACCTGCTAGTCCATGAAATACCCATGACTAACGCTTAGGTTGCTTTATTCTATTTTTTTCCCCTCCTAAACGATCTTGGTAAGAAGAATATTGGCACAAAAGTCTGTCGGGACAGGAGGAAGCCTCTGAAATGCATTTTGGCTACATGCGCTTGGCCAGATGCTGGGAGAGCTTAAATCAGCCCAAGCTCTTGGTGCCTGTGCCTGTCCCAGCAGCCAGGATCTGGCCTCCGTTGGGCATCAGCTGGCAAAGCAGGAGGCAGTGCTGGACAGGGTTGTGCTCTCAAGCGGCTGCTGGGCTGTGTATTTTTCCTTGCTGTGCTACATGAGCTGCATCGTGACTCATACCTCGTGGGAAGGGCTGATGGATGCCACTCGCCTTTTTCCTCTGCCTCCTCCTTACTCTGGTCCCTGATGGCTCCTCCCGAGGCAGCTCTGCAACCTGGGAGGGACTGGCCCAGGATCTGCAGCGTGGCTGGGGGCTTCTTCAGCCTGGCTTTGGTTTTCTGGGCTTACACTCTCTAGCAGCTGCTGGCCCTCATCTGCCTGGATATTTCTCGAGGTGTATGAGCATCCAAATCGTGTTTTTGCTGGAAGGAGCTATCCATCGGACTCCTGCTCTCTGTTTAAGTGAGGCCCTGGATATGGCTCGAGTTGAGCTTTAAGCCAAGCTCAGCCTCATCCCGTCCTTCCTTTCCCTATTCCAGATGGGGAGATGCTGGTGCTACGCATTTCTGCGGAGCATTGCATCGAACGTGACATGCTCTGAGCAGCCCTGGTGAGAGACAGTGGGCCCAGCCAGGCAGGACTGCTTAGGTTTGGTTTTGCTGCTGTGTGGGTTTAAGTAGAAGACTCGGCCAGAGAGGCGATGGCAGCACAGTGAGGGAAGAGGGAGCATGTGGAAAGGGCCAGCTAGAGCCCTGCCCTCCCCATTCACAGATTTACTTCCTTTGGGTGTGGGATTGCTGTGCACTGGGTGGGAACAGGCCTCCTCAGCTTTAATTAAGAAAAAGCAGGAAGTTTTAGGTGGTTAACAATTGATTTTTTTTTTTCATTTCTTCTTTTTTCTGATCATCCATGAATGTACAAAGCAGGATTGTTAGTTGTAGACCTAGAAAACAACTGAATTAGCCTTCTGAGGCCAGAGTTGTGATGAAGGACTGTATTGCTACCTTGGAAATCAGAGCAGGGAGGGATGATCTTTGCAAACAGTACCAGGCAGCGAGGGGGCTAGAACTGGGCAAATACTCACCATGGAGAAAACAGATGTTTAATTATAGCACCAGGGGTGGGCACTCGGCTGTGAGCTGGACCCTGCTGGGAAAATTTGTCTTTCTTACATCTGAAGCAAAGATGCCTCTGTCTGGGTTGATGCTGAGAGGGGCTGAACTACTCACCTCAGAAGTGTTTTGCTGTTGCGTGTCGGAGTCTCAGCACCCAGAGCCTGACGCTTCTGCAGTGCGGATGCCCGGACCCTGGGGAGCTGGCGGTGCCCGAAGGGTAAAGCTCAGAGAAACAAGGATGGGAAACGTACCCGGGGTAACTCATCCAAGCAATCCATCATCGGTCATCTGTCCCCACTGCTCCCTCCCGTGGGAAAGCATCCATACTGGATCCATCCTCCTCCTCCAGAACTATGGGCGCCCTGTTAATCACTAATCGTTTGCAGAGAGGACCCTCACCTTCCCTGGGGCTTCCCACGTGCTCCTGAAATGCAGGGATGCTTTTTTTTATCATTTGCGAGTTCGAGTTTTGCTTTGCGCTCAGTGAACCCGGTAACTTCTTGCAATCAGATGGGGGGCAGACAGTTTTCCTGTTGTTTCCTCTGTGGCTTTTGGGGTAAGGTCACCTCCATGCAGAGATTCTGGTTGATCCGAAGGGAAACCTCGGTGGGGCTCGTGCCTCATGGTGGTTCTGTGCTTGAGGTGAGCTCACCCCAGAGCCTGGCTCCTTAAGCAGTCCTCCTGTTGGTATTTACCTCAGTGCACATCTCCACCCATCAACCAGCATCAGGAAGTGGCTTCCGACTCTACAAAATTCAAATCAGACAGTGCTTCCCTGGCCAAAAGTGTGACAAAATGTGCTAGAGCCCTTAGCAAAGCGAGCAAATGTTCCCACTGTATTTTAACCAGCCCTTCTGGCCTCCCACCATCAGGCTGGTGCTGATAGCAACTCCTAATTGCCAGCAACCTGTAATCAGCAGAATGTTCCCTTAGGAGAAGAGGAAGAGACAGGCTGAGTTTTGATCAGCAAAGTGCATGGTTTGCAGCCAGAGCAGCAGGCACCCCCCAACAGCAGCTCCCTGGCTCATCTCACTTTTTTCTTTTTAATATATGTTATTTCTCCAACGACGAGGGAGCCTGGTGGGGTATGAATGCAACAATAGTCTGGAGCTCTTTGCTCGTTGAAGAAAGGGAACATGCTGTGCTGGGAGGCTGTGTGGGTTTCTGAGCCAATTCCTTGCTCTTGGCTGGTAAAGACCTGTCTCTCGAGCCCACCGGGGAGCGAACGGCAGCCCCATGCTGGGGCAGGGTGTGCTGTACTGCTTGTAGGGAACAAGTCCTGCTTGAGCCTGGTGGGACCTGGCCGGTGGTCACGGCACTGCGGTACAGTGGTGATGAGCAGCACTGTGTTTACCCCCAGTATCCCTGTGTGCTGACAAGGCGCTGTCTGTGGTGCGGGCATGCAGTTATGGAAGAGTAGGCGACTCCCCCAAGATCACCCGCGTTTGCTTAGAGGGAACTGAATCTGAGTTCCCTAAATTAGTGCCCTGCCTGCTGGACCATCCTGCCTCACTTCATCTCACACAGCTACACGGGCATCTCTCCGCGCCCAACCTTCAACTTGCTGAGGCCAATATTGGGGGTTCAGTTAAAAAGTCTAAAAAAGTCTTCATATTCCATGGCTTTAGGTCTGGTTTTGCTATTTTAAAATATTTTATATAAGTATTTATATAAATATTTCTGTGAAATTTTACCAGGCTTCTCTGTTTCAGTATTAATTTGACACTGGCTTTAAAAACAGTTGAAAATCCATTTTTACTGTCAAGCCCAGAGTGCATCCTGTCACTGCAGGCTTAAATCCTCACTGAACTTGGCAAGACTTAGGACCGAAGTCACTGTGGTGCCTGTGAAGACAATACCCTTCATTATGTGTGAGTGTCATCAAGTCACACTCATTAAATCCTCTAATCCTAGTTAAAAAGCTACAGCCTCACCCAAAATGAATGTGCAGAGAGACCAAATTGGTCCTGTTGGACCAGTTTTGATTTACTATCTTTGGACACAGAAGACAAAAAAAAGAGCATCTTCCATAAAGCGAATGTTCTCACGGCACTCAGATAATATAAACCAAGGAGATGAGGAGTGTGCCCAACCCCACCCATCTGAGTGGAGGATCCCGAGTGCAAGCAGGAGGCTCTTGCACTTTTAGGATGGTGCTAGCAAGAAGTCAAATATAAGAGGAGGAAAATACCTTTGAAAATCTTAATCTTAAAAAAAAAAAAGGGGGGGACGGGGGGGGGAAGTCTGGCCCTGAGGGTGAGACTCATCCTCCGTAACATGATCTGTTAGAAACTTAGGCAGTGAGTCTACAAAGGAGTCATTGGCATCCCTCAGAAATCAAAGGCAGGAGATGCTGCCAGATAGGTGGGTGAGTTTCTCCGGATGGTGTGTCTCTGCCCCATCCCCAGAGGGACTTAGTTTTGCTGCCCACAGACAGGGCTAAGACCCTGGGTGGGTGCATCCGTCCACAAGAACGGCCGGAGAGTCTCTTGGACACCTCCTTCCTACGAGCTGGGCTCTATTTCTGTGTTTGCAGTCTGCTTTCCCACACACAGATTCTGGTCCCTGCTGTAATCGGTCCTTGGCCAGCTTTTCAAAGCCTTGGCTCGGGTGGTGGCTGTGCTTTCTCAAAGGACGGGCTGTTCTCATCTCCCCTGGGTTTGAGCTTCTTGCTCAGCCCTGGAGCAAAGCGGTGTGCTTTTCCTGTTGCTCTTCTAAAGTCCTGTCTGGTTATTATCTGCAGACCAGAAACAGAACCTTTGCTGTTTGGTCTCCAGCCAAAATATAGCTTATTTCCTTGGTGCGTGGTGCAGTATCTACAAGTCTGTGCGCAGCTGGGGTATTTGTGCAATAGAAGCAAAGATTTTATTTCCTCCCTCCTTTTTCTTTCTTATTGCCCCAGCAAATAGCCCACTGAGCCAGAGAAACACATTTATGGGTAGCAGAGTTTTGTTTTTTTTTATTAAATATTTTTTTTTTTTAGCTCAGCTCTCATGGAGTGGTTACATCCTGTCCCTTGTCTGCTAACCCCGGCAGTGTGTGAGACTTCTGTAGGAGGGAGTGGCACTGTGAGTCAGTGTGAAAGCTGACATGGTTTGGAGGTGGCATCTCTAATGGAAAGGGGAGGTTTGGAGAGGACTGTGGCCATTGCATCTGTTCCAGTGGCATGCCACTGCACACCCTTCTGGGATGCTGTCCAGAGCTGCGGTGGTCCTGGGGCTCCCTCCTGTCCACTCCTGTAACGCGTCCGGTCCCTGCCATGCTTTGCAGATTGAAGCACTTATGATGGAGATGCAGAATCCAGACACAGGCATCAAGATGCAGTCACAGAGGGTGATGATCACAAACATCCCACACGCTGTGGCAGGTAAGAGCTTCGCTGGGGAAAGGGACTGGGCCAAGGAAGTTCATCAAAGAAAAGCTGTGTGTGGACGCCGTGGCCACCCCAGGGTTACCACTGCCTGGGTGCATACTGGAGCCTGTGTTCCCAAAAATATTTGCCATACATCCTTTGAAACATACCTGCTCCTTTTGTCTCATTCTCACTTGTGTCTCATTTCACTCCTAGCTCTTTGAATCAGACACACAGAGATTGATAATCATGCACTTTTAGCTGTCTCACATGAGTTTAACTCAAGTGACCTTGCTTTCTCTTAGCATACAGGTGAATAGGTGCTTCAGCCTCCAGACCTGTCGTATTCCTGGTGGGGCTGGATCATAAATAAGGATAAATATTAAAATCCAATTAAAATAGGCAGACTGGAGTCAAACAACTTCAGAAATGAACAACAAACCATTAGTCTCCCTTTTAACATTGTCTGCTAATAATCATTTTTCTTCAGTACACAGGAAAAGAACAAAATATCCAACCCACTTCTCTGCCTCTAAATGACAGCTTTTCCTCCTTCAGGCAGGCTGAAAAAGAAACAGACAGGGAGCTGTGCTGTGCTGTGTCACGTATGGTGTTACAGGCAGCTCTTATCGCAGTCTCCTTTTTGCCTGCTAGCTCCTTTCACAGAGCACTACCAGTACCTCTGCTTCCCTGTTCTCCAAGCCTCCACAAAAGCTCTTGTGAAGCATCCTCCACTATAAATATTCACACACACTATACCAAAGTTTCCTCCTCCTGCTTTGGTCTTTCTGCAGCACTTTGAAATCCAGAACACAAACTCCCACTGAAAGCAGTGAGCTTGCTCCAGGCAACTCAGGAGACAACTTAGCCAAATAGATTAATTTTTCCCCACTGTATTTGCAAAGCCCAGTAGGCCCTGTGTGTTGTTTGCCCCAATTTTTTTAAAAAATGAGGAAGCAGAGGCACTGAGATGAAGTCACTTGCCCATGGGTACAGTCAGTCAGTGAAAGGGTAAGGAGAACTTAGACGACATCTGAAGCTTGTTCTCAGCAGCACCCTCCATGCGTTACAGTACAAACCATATCCTGGCTTACATAGCTATTATGCAGCTGAATTTGGTGGAGTGCTTTGCATCTGCAAAGGATCTGGCCTTGCCTCCCCTAGCTGTTAGTGAATAGTTAAGGCAGCACTGCAGAAAAGTTTCCCCCGTACTGAAGATGACGTGCCAACTAGATTAAGTGCAGGGGAAACAAGTACTTCTCTTGATGTCTGGCCAATGTAAAATACCACTTCCTAAAAGTCCGTGGCTAGGTGATGTGGAGGGAAGATGCCTATTGGTGTTCATCCTCTTTGCGTGCTGTCTGCTTTATTCCGGTTCCTTAGCTGGAATTGCTGCAAGTTCCCTCTTGTATAAGTCATAAATTCTAGTCAACTTCTGATAGGCAAGGGAGTTACAGTCTCCTTGCGTGGCAGTCATCGCTCTCTAAACTATGATATTTGTAGTGTTGCGCGAGTTGCGTATATACTGATTGGCTTCTGGGTGTTGCAAAAGAGATTGATTCATGTTTAGTGAGGGAATGGTGAAGACATTAGAGCAGTGGACACAGATCCACTGAAGAGAGCTTGGCTTTTCATGTGCAGGAAGCTAACTAGTTAAATTCAGTGTCAGAAAAATGGCTCACAACAGAAAAGGCAAATAAACCTTCATGTTAAATGCGCACCTTGGGGGAAAATGCTTACAGAGAGAGCTGTCTAGAAATGAGTGATGAGATAATCCTTTAATTTAATCTATTTCAGGAAGCAGGCAGTAGGATAAGAGCTCTGAGCCCCTATTAGAAAGTTAAGTCATCACTGCAATGTCAAGAAAGGTCAACACCTCAATCTGCAATCCTAGGGGACGTTTGGAGGAAAAGACCAATAACTGATCAGGGAATGAGTACATTTTTGCCCTATTTAAATGGAAGGAGGTTCATGATATTTCCCCCCGCAGAACATAAAACTAAAACTGCTGGAGGTTTATGCTGACTATGGGTATGACTGGCCACACCCCACCAAAAGAACTGGGAGAGATGAAGTGTTTGTGAATGCAGAAATCTTGTTTCCCTTTGATATGTCCTGTGACCACTACCACTTGGATCTGAGACTCGGGCATCCCTTCTGCACTGAAAGTCATGTCTCTTAAAGGACTCGAGAGGACCAGTCGCTGGTCTCTTACTAAAACTGAGACAGGACCGTGCTCTGTGAACCTGGAGATACTTTGCAGTGAATCTTTCAAGACAAGACAGTGCAAAACAAGGGGCACTTCACCCTTGCTGAGCATGGAAGCCGTTGCATTGCTTAAGTCCTTTCTAAGCCAATGATGAGGGTTTAAGTCTTGCTCAGGCCATGTGTGCTTCTGCACACTCACGCTGTGCCATCCTGAGGGCAACTGCCTGTCTCGGGCTCCCTCTCTCAAGGACTGATGCCTCTTTGGTCAGGAGGAAGCCTGAATGACAGCATGTCCAGTGAGAGACCGGCAATGCATTTTATTGCTGCTTCTCTTGTGTGGTGCATTTGAAAGCATGTTTGCAAGAAGGGGTCTGTGCACTCGGTGGGATCCAGAGCACAGTGAGGGGTGAGGACTGGAGAGGTCTCGCTTTGGCCCATGGATTTTGGCACACTCCCAATTTCGAGCACCTGACATTTTCTTTGCTTTACAGGTAATGATATATTGCAGTGGATTCTCCAACGCTTGCAGATCACCGAGGAAGGTGGGTAGAAATGTAAAAATTGAGGCTTTTTTCAGCTTTGAGTTGTAAAACTTTAAGGTCTCCATAGACAAAACCTTTTAGATGAATTCTTCTCTCCTGAGTAGCAGCTTACTTTTAAATTCCAGTGCAGTGTTTCTGTGCAATCAAAATGTCTGCCTTCTTCATTTTCAGAGGCACTCCACCTGGGAGACCTGTTTGTCAAATATGGATACATCTACCCTCTTCAGGAGCCAAAGAATCTCACCCTTAAGACAGACGGCAGCCTGTACAGGTTTCAAGTGAGTTGCACCTTGTCTAAAGCCATTGAGAGGGAGTTCAGCACTAGTTTTAAAAACAGGCAGCTGGGGCAATTCCCCAGGAGCTGTAGTCGTGAGGAGGCCATGCTGTGTAACCGTGCTAATCGTTCCATGTGCAGGAGGAAGGGATCCACAGAGAAGCCTCGGGCCAGTTTCCCCAGTTCTGTGTGTCAGATTACAGTTTGCAGGCAACCTAATATACTTCCTTCAACTAAATTAGCATACTTGTTCAACTTCAAAATAGCTGTGCTTTCTTCCAAATGTGCGTTCCCTTCCAGGTTTTAAAGTAGCAAATGGAATCGCTGGTTGAAAATAGAATGATCTGGGGAGACTGAATAATGAATATACAAAAAGCAGAGTAATAACGGGATGTTATAAAGATTCATGGTTGGACTGTTTTCACTACGATGGCAAATTAGGGTATCCTCCTTCGTACTTTGAATGAGGAGTCTGGTTCCCACATAGTGCCAAATTAGGCTCCAGCATCTCAGCCTGAATGCTCAGGCAGCAGTGAGAGGTTGGCTATATTAACCAACTGCAGAGCAGCAGTGGATTTGACAATGGCAGTCTGCTGACTTCAGTTCTCCTGCTGTAGCTGGCCTGCACCATTGTGCAAGCTGACATGCAGAGCTGAGGCTCTGAGTATAGCAGAGGAGAACTTTCCTCTCCCTCCAGTGTAGGTGGTGCTGTGCGCCTCTTGGCATGAGTTCAAGGCTATCGTGCACTAACGAAAGGCTTGTTTTTCTGCAGACCCCCTATTTCTGGCCCACGCAGAGCTGGCCTGCTGATGACACAGACTATGGTAAGTGATAGCGTTGTATGTGTTTAGGAGGCGTAGTGCAAGCAGTTTGTGTGCACGCAGTCCTGCACCGTGTTTGCTGTTCATCTTTTTGTGCTGTGTATCCACATGTGATGACCCACCCTTGCATTTTCTTTCATTATTTTGTGAATAACTCTTGGTAATGCTGAATCGAGGGAACGCTCTGGATGTGACCGCCTTGTGGTGGCCTTGATGAGAGAAAGTGCTTAAGCTTCTCTTACGTTCCACTGAGATCCATCAGACTGGAACACATCTGAAATACTCTGCTGGGTATGGAAGACTTTAAGCACAAGGTTAGATTTCCCTGAATAGTTAAGTGTATTCCTGGATCTGAGCCCAAGACTGTCTTCCTGTATATTTGGATCAAGCCCTGCATTCAGAGATAGTTCTTTCTTTATATAATGCACAGTGACTCCCAATATTTCCTGATGATTTCCATATCAATCTTCTGTTGCCTTTATAATGCTTTTTATTATAAGGCTGGTCATGAAAGTTGGGCTGATCAGCTTGGTTTGCTCCTGTGGGCTGTGCAGTTCACAGACTGATTTGTTTATACCAAGATTGTCGTCTGTGGCTTTTACCTACATTATGCTGTAGATCTTCTGGGGAAATAAAACAGCCCATTTTAGATTAGAATGCTTTTAATAGAACTTGGAACAAAACATTGGCCTGTATTTGGAAAACTTGGAAGTCAAACTCTGAAGAACCTCAACATCTTAAAGATTTGGTCCAGTATCCTTTGACCTGTGAAACCCTGGCTGAGTTCCCAAAGGAGGAGTGACTGCTGGCAGAAGGCACACACTATCTGTTCTGTGTGGCTGCTCCCAGCCTGGGCACTGGCTCGTGAAGCATCAGTGACAAAGTGAAAGCACCAAGTTCATTTTTCTTCAGTGAGCTCTCGTGATCTTGGAGCTCATGCCTGGGAAGATACTGTAACAGAGGAGGATTCCTGTGGGTAAATTTTTAATTGTTCTTGGATTTGTTGGTCTAAGTATAACTGACTGCTTATTTGCTTCTCCCTCCACAGCAATTTACCTAGCAAAGAAGAACATTAAGAGGAAAGGGATTTTAGAAGAATATGAAAAGGTAAGGAGATGTTGTACTTGTTCCATTGCAAGCCACTCGTTTGCTATAGCTTTAGCTCTCTGTTGCTAATGAATGGAGCCTGCGTGGCAGTTCCCTCTTCAATTGCATGAGGCATTACTCCAGCAATGTCAAAAGCCAAAATTTTGGAAGTGAAAAAGTGGCCAGTACAGGAAAATACTCTGAAGTCATTGATAATTTTAACGGGGATAATTGCTCTCCTTGCAGTGGTATTTTTGAACTGTTGCAATTCATGTGATTATGTTCAGAACAATCCAGATTTCTTGGCTTGGTTGCCAGCCTGGCCTAGCTGAGCTATGGAGAGTCAAGAAAACCCTGGCATGGGAGCACCTTGTCCAGAACTTTCACACTAACAGCTTTTTTATTTTTATTCCAGGAACATTACAACATGCTCAATCAAAAAATAAACTACAAGTGGGATTTTGTAATTATGCAGGCCAAAGAGCAGTATAAGTGAGTTGACTTGCATTCCCTTATTTGCATCATCGGGGCGGGTATGAGGAGGCAGAGCTTCAGTGTCTTGGTACACAGTTAAATTACAGTTTAAAAACATAAACTGCAGCTTTAAAATAACTTGCAAGTGTCCCTCAAGATTGTGAAACAAACCTGCCTTTCATATCAGCTTAGGGTTCGTCCAAGTGAACTTTGTTCACTTCGCACTTTGCGAGTGAAGGATTTCATGACTGGACACCCACTTGCAAAGCCTCACCCTCGCCTGCTGCACCTGCATTTCTCTCCCCAGCTGGCATTTGTCTGCCAAAGACGTGGAATCGGTGTGGTTTTTGAGAGCACAGGCGGGGGTGAGTGCCTTTCCTGCCGACACATGTGCATACCTCTTTGCAAATGGTTTTTGCATGTGCATAAGTGTGCAGGGGGAGGTTTAGATTTTGCACCTGATGTGACTCCCTGAAGAAACCGAGGTGTGATGCTGCAGTGTGCACGCCCTCATTAGAGACAGTTTCTTTTAGCTCAGGGTTGTCCTTGAGCATTTGTGGATCAGGCCACTGGACTTAGGACCTGTTATTGGTCTGGTTCAATTACAGCTTGCACATGTCTCACAGCTGAACTGAATGGCTTGAATCAAGAACAGTAAATGTTCCCAGCAGGGACTTCTGGAGAAAACCCTGAAGTGCATACTTAGGCACCCAGTGAAAATTGCTTGACTTTAGGAGCTGAATCCTTCAAATTCCCAGGAAAGTTAGTGAATGTGAGATGGGATTACTCCTTTGGAGATAGGATCTTTCCTACTTCTGTGGATTCCTTTTTACCTTTTTTTGCCTCCCAGCACAGCAGGCACTGCCTCTGCTGTCAGCAGTGTTTCTGTCTTCACTGGGATGGTAGCCAAGTCGTCAGAATACAGCTCATCAGATAACTGTCTCATTAAACACGAGACTGTTGTTCTTGTAAATTGAGGTCAGACATGGGCTAAGAGATGCCAAATGCAGTTTTAAAGTTAGATACCGAGACACTGTCTGAACTAGTAGATTAAACACGTCTGAGGCTGTTTGATGATGATACTGGGGCAGACTGGTGCAGAACAGCCCGCATCCACCCTGTTAACCACAGCAGGGTGGCCACATGCAAACAGCCTTTTGGGAATACTCCCTTGCCCATGCTAAGTCCCAAATTGTGCTGCGGACTTGTCTGGGAAAGAACTAGTTGGTCCAAGCCCAAACCATGCTGGTGCTTCTTCTATTTAATAGTAGAGGTGTTTTGGGTTTTAGTGCCTGGGAACACTGCTTGGCCCCATTTCCAAATCATTTCTGTGAGAAATGCCCCCCCCTTACTGCAAGATGGGGACAAGACATGTCCAGGATGTATCTCTGCGTGGCAGTTCTCAGACACTGCCCGGAGACATCAGAGATGGATAAACATGAGGCAGCAGGACTGACCACAAGTAGTGCGTTGTTAGCGTAAAACTCTACTAAAGGGCTGTCTGTCTAATCAAAAGAGGATGTGTCTGCTCCCAGCTGAGCTCAGGAAGACGATGATTTCTCAAAAGCTACAGTCATGTGTGGCCATGTGAACAGCATGATCTGCAGTCCAGAATTAGCCGGGGTAAGGTGTGGTAAGGAGGCTGCAACAGAGCATCGCGCAGTCAGGCTGGGACCCGCGGGGCAGGGGAGACTGGAGGTGTGCCCCCTTTCTCATTCCACTGGTTTTAGGAGAGGAAAATTCATGAATTCCCCTGGTAGAGTTAAATCCTGTTCTTGGCTTTGCAGGGCAGGGAAGGAGCGGAAGAAGGCAGACAGGTACGCCCTGGACTGCCAGGAGAGAGCCTACTGGCTTGTGAACCGAACTCCTGTAAGTAGAGGACGTTGTCATGTGGGTTTAGTGCCTCCCTGCAGCCACCTGGGACAAACTCCCGCACACTAAGGGCATGGCTGTGGACATGGCCTCTGGGCTGTGCACCCTGTCGCTTCTCCTCGAGGAAGGGGTCAGCCCAGGCCTGCCCTGAGTCCACGCCTTTCTCGTTGGTTGCTCTCAAAGGTGCAAGGGAGGGAGGTCTGGCTGTAGCACCCATGCTTGGAGGGGAGCATTGCCAGATTCGGGGGGCAGAGTTCCCCCGGGGCACTGCTGGCTGAGAGCTGCTGGCAGTGGAGCCCTTCGGGGCTCGGGGGTCTCCTCGTGCATTTGTGTGAACCACAAACTTTAAAACAAATGAGTTACAAAGCTATTGATGTTTCTTGTTCATAACAGCCCGGCATGCTAGATGTCCTAGAGTATGGATTAGACCGCGTAACAGATCCCAATGAAAATAAGGTAAACCAGGTGAGACAGGTTTTCTTTTCACACCTACTGAATTTGTGCGGGAGGACCCAGACAATGTCCCTGGGATTGTGGTTTTTTGGGCACCGCAGGCTGAGCGAGTCAGCTCAGCCGTGATAGCCAGTCGGGCCAGAAGTTGAAGCCGTCTCATTGTCCGGGGGGTGGGGCCCTCAAAATAGGCTTTGGCAGCATCTTTTGGCTTGAAAGTACTTTGTCAGCTTTCTTGCCACACCAGTTAGTGTGAGCGTTTAGCTACAGGACATGTTTTCTCTGCTGGTGAAGCTGCATTAAGGAATCCTCTACCTCCAGATGCTTGTTGCTGCCTTTTTATTAGTGGTGAATGGACTGTGGGGGGTTGCGGAGCGTGAAGGATCAGAGGAAAGATCCAGGTTTACAATGAAATAACAGAATACCTCCAAAAGGGTAATGTGTGGCAAGAAGATGGAGAAGTTGGTGTGGTGGATAGGAGACACAAAATGTTGCCTAAAAATGCATATTGTATAGCTAGACCATAAAGAAACAGAATTAATGAACTGAGACCGTGGAGGCTGTTAACTGGGTGGGACTGGTTCAGAGTCCACAATAAGACATGTAGTCAGTGGATGAGGAGCTGCTCGTCTCTTTCTTCATCAGTCCTTTTCAGCAATCCTGCATTTGTGCACTTAATGGTGTTCACTTGCACTTAATGTTTTTTTTTTTTCATTTTAGTCAAAGTGTCTCTCAGCAATTAAATGCAAATGTTACTGCGATCACATTCACTGTATTCCCACAACTTCTTATTTTTGTAACAGCCTTTAAACATCTCAACAGCCAGAGGCAGGATAATTGCTTTGGCCAACTGTGTTCTGTTGCTATAGAGACTGAAAATGAGCAAAATGTAGGGTTGGGGTGTATTTTATTTTTTCTTGTTGTAAGTAGCAGCTGCCGAAAGCCTTTTGTTTTGTTTTGGTTTTTTTTTTTTCATTTTTTAAGAGAAAAGGAGTGGAGGAAAGGGAGAGGGATGGAAAAGAGGAGTAAGCCAACTTCTCACCCACAGTTTTACAGCTGACATGGAAGGAGATTTTAGGTTTGCAAACGGTCTGAAAGCCCGTAGCCATCTGCCAGCTGCTTGGTAGCAAAGAGGAAGTGAGCTGAGGGATCTCCGTTCAGTTCCCACCCTGGACATAAGAGAGATGGTCGATTCCTCTCGTCAGCAGAGACTCCAAGGAGGGCATGAGCCAAAGGACACCAGCTTTGGGCTGACTTCACTGCCTTTCTCCTTCAAGCTGATCTCTGAGTTATGCCTCCTCTCTGGAGGCTGAGCTGAAGAGGGAAGGTTCTTCTTGCTCTTTTTTTTGCTTTTGAAAGAGCGATTAACAATACACTAGACAGCCAAAAGCCCACGTAGAGCCACCTTTGGACTAGGAGCTTTTTTTTATTTCTGCAGGCTGCTCCCTCAAACACCTGTGGCTCAACTGCCTTTGGTGAGCAGAAAGGATGGCCCAAGCTCTGCCGGTAAATGCTAAGCTGGACTGTGCTTTGTTGGCCGATGAAGGCAGTGCGGAGTTTTATTTGTGTTTTCTGTGCGCCCAGCCTCTGGCTCTGACATAGGTGAAACGATGAGAGCAGAAAATGAGTGCATGAATCCAGTGCCCATTTATTTGATTTCTGTCTGTTCATGCTCAATCTAGCTTTACTTTGTTGGCCAATTAGCTTTCTTTTATCTTGACAGCTGAGAAAGAAAATATTCCCGGTGATAATTAATTTCTGACATCAGAATGACTTCTTTGAAGCTGATACTGGCATGAACATCTCTCTTTCACTTGGCTCAGACCCTTTGGTGGGCTGCTCCCTCCTTAATTGATAGAGTCCTCTGGGGATAAACAGGTGCTCAGCCAAACATCGCACTCCTTTGAAAGGGACTTTTATTACTGACCCATTAGCATCCCTCGTGGTTATAATGAGTTAGGAGTTGTAGTTGGGCAGGAGGAATAAGGCAGAAGTAGCCACCCCTTGAACAGCTAATTAAGGGATGCTTTAGCCTTTTGTTACCCAGGTCTCAGGCTCATGATTGGGCCTCACTGCTTAGAGAGTTACCAGGCAACTGCCAGAGCCTGCTGACTCGCCTGCAGGTACACACTCGGCTTTTGCCGCCTTCTGTAACCAGAAAGTCTTTCTGAAAGGTGCTTTAGCTTAGCCAAAAATCACTGCGCTGGATTCAGGGACTGCTGAATGAAATGCCCTGGCTTGTTGTACGCAGCAAATCAGCCACAGGTCATCGTAGTCATTTCTGGCCTTTAATTTCATAAGTCTTCGTCAGTTTGGCTGCCTGATAAATGCATAGGTTCTGCTGCATCCATCACATCTTTTTAAATAACAGGGTCAGAAGCAGATAAACAAGATAGGGGAAAACTGGCAATTTGAATGAAACTGGGCGTATGGACTGTTACAGATTTGATTTCCAGCTGTTGGGCTGGAAGCACCAGCACAGTGGAGACGCATGTTGAGATGATTTTATGCTAGACTTAGAATTTGCCTCTGGC